TATTCAATCCTCCCCCAGCTCTGTTGAGGTAGGCACTATTATTACTGCCATTTTACAGACGGGTAAACTGAGGCTCAGAGAGGTTAAATCACAATCTCCCTCAAATGCCCTCCTACTGAATCGAGGCTAGTGATTATCATCGAAGGCTTCAACTTGACGCTCCACCATCTCTCTCTAGGGCTGGAGATGGCAAAGACATGGGACAAGGTCCTTGGCTGAAAACTAGTTGGTTTGGGTTTTTGAAGTTTAAAATCCAGACACTTAGGCTTGACATTATCTGACTCCTTCTTTTACAAGGACACACGAGGTCTGACAGCCCTTCTCTCCCACAGGCAGGGCAGACTCTGCCCTTGGCTGTCTAGCCTTAGTTATTGTCTTTCTTGTCACAGGAGGAAGGCCCCGGGGCTTCTGGGTACACAACTAGGGCTCAGAAATAGCTTCCTAATCGGCCTCATCAGCTTTGAAGGAGGCCACTGCAGGAGGGGCCTAAGTAGGCCAACACTTTAACCCAGTTACATGAGGGCGGCTGTAATCCAGGCTGATCATGTCTTGCTAAGCTCTTGTTGGGGGGTGGGCGGGGTGGGGGTGGGGGGATGTCCAAAAACTGCTTCCTGTGCCCAAGTATCCCTGGATCTCCCTGCAGACTCTCCTTCCCCTTCTGGAAGAGCTTGGCCTAAAGGCCACAGAGGCCAAGCTTAATGAGAGTGGCTGCCAGGGCCGAGGGAAGGTCATTGGCCATTTCCCACTGCGGTCAATGTCCACGGCTTATGCTGCCCCAGGCCAAGGTACTGCTTTACCTTGAAAGGCCCACTGCCTAACTCTTCCCGCCTTGTGGGAGGAGGTGAGGAAATCATTGTCTTCCTCCATGGGGGCCAGACAGCTGCTCATGTCAACCCTGGGAGTCCAGGGCAAGGCTGGGCTCCTTCCTCCTACACCCCTCCTGGCTCATCTCTGACAATGACTGGCCCTGGGAATTCCCCACGGAAGCAGGCTGAGCTGTCTGGCCAAGCTGTGGTTGGGAAATAAAGAAACCAGAGCTGTTGGGGATGGCTGGGCCTGGCTTGTCTGGCTCCCTCCCCAACTCTTTCTGGCTTCCTCCTTCCCTCCTTCCGTCCCTCCCTCCCTCCCTGGTGGTTGGCATGGTGGGTTTCCTTATGCAGGTGCACCCCACCGCCTTCCCTTCATGGCCCACAAACCATCTGCCCCAAGAGGTCGCCCAGCAAAGTGAGCCCCGCTCTGGTCAGGAAGCAGGGAGCTTGCCCAGCCGGCGTGGATGCTGGCAGGAAAGAAAGAGAAGATGGAGGGTTGGAAAGAGACTATACACTGAAAGTGTAAGTTCTTCCAAAGGGGTTTTCTCTACTGGAGGGTGACTCTCATGGGGCCAGGAAGAGGAATCAAAGGCAACGATTCTGGCATCTCAGCTACTCTAAGGCCCCTCGGGTTGTGGGGTTGTGAGATGGACCCAATTTATGTGCCTCTGGAAAAGAAAACTAAGCTCTGATTGAACTATGTCATACCATTGACTGTAAGCTGAAGCCTAGGTTTAAAGATGTTAAAAAGCAAAAAAAAAAAAAAAAAAAAAAGGGGGGGGGAGAGGTCTTAGGGTCAATGAAATACAGAAACATTCTTTAAAACTGAGGCACCACCTCTGCTACACACCCCAGAGACCCCAACCGCACAGTTACATAAGTGTAGTCAAAACCCCAAGGAACCTCTGAGCTCTGAGAACAGGCAGAGTAACTGCACCGTCTGGAAATAGGGCCCCCCGACACCAAACAGGACTTTATAAAGCCATTTTTCTCCCTGGGTGTCTCAGAGCACCTTGGGGTTCAGAGAGGTATGATTCGGCCAAGGGTACCCGGGGCGTCCGAGGGGGCGGAGAACCGCTGAGAGCTAGTGCAATGCTTTTTCAACTATTTCAGGACGACCACGATCTAGGGCTTGAGTGAAGACAGGCCTAGTGAGCATGGAAATAAGCGACTTTTAAACATCTTTCCCGATGGAATTATTTACAGAACCTCAAGGTACAAAAGAGAACAAAATTGGGAGTTGTTCCGGGTGAAGCAAGGGGAAAAGGCCAGAACCTCACCCGCTCTGCCCCCACCCATCCCTCACCTCCCCCACCCCGGGGTGGCTTCTCCAGACTCTGGGAGGCTCTGAGGAACACTCCAAATCTGTGGAGTGACGGGGCTCCCACTGTCTTGGTAAGGTTCTTTTTGTTAAGCTGGATTTTGGTATTATTCTTCAGACTTTTTGGTAGGTCTCAAAAATCTCATTTGAAAAAGGCCCCGGTGTAGAGGGTCAGGGCAGAGAGATGACTCACAACCTGGAAGCTTCAAGTGAAAACAAAACAAAAGTTTGCTTTGAATCATGAGCTGGGGTGAGGCCTGGGCATTGAGATTTCGGTTAAAGCTTCCCAGGTGATTCTAATATGCAGGAAAATCTACAAGCTCCTGTCTTCGTGGTCTCTATCTCGTCCGCTGCGATGTTCTCGAAACCTAAGGGTGTGTTCTGGAGTGTGCAGGAAGGCCCCTCCATTCCCAGGGCGGGCAGGAGACCCAAGAGCCCAGGGCCTCCTTTTAAAAATTTACTAGTAAAGGGACTTGGGACTTCTGGAAAGCAGCGAAGGAACAGCTGAAGGGACAGGCAGAGCGGGCAGCACCCCTGCAAACCCCCTTGAACGCGAGGGGGTTGGGGAGAGGCAGGAGAGACCAGGGAGTGGAGGGGCAGCTGGGGAGGCATCGCTGGAAAGAACACCCATGCAGCTCAGGCCACTGGCCCCATCACCTGTCAGAGCTTGGTCAAGGAAGCGTCAGCCCTCCTTGCCCAAACCTGCCCCGTCGCGAGACTCCGGGGCTACCGGCTGGCCGAGATGGAGGAGCCGCCCTGAAGTCAGGACAATCGGCTGCAGAGGGCCAGATGGGCAATGTAGATGCTGGGCAAACGCTGACTGGGAGAGGGGTGGGGACGGGTGGTAACAGAGAGTCTTTGACTTTGGACGAGGCCGGCCTTGCCCATTGCCAAGGTTAGCAAACCACATATCCTTTGGAATAAGCCACGGCGTTTGTCAGACTGACATGTGTATCTCTGCCCCTCCACTGGCCTTGGCAAAGCAGGACAAGGGGAAAACTCACTGGGCGGGGGGCGGGGGGGATCATGGTGTAACCACCCCAAGGCGCTCCCTCCCCCTCAGAGGGGTAGCTGGCATATCCCGTGGGCTGGCGGGGCTCTGGCCGTGCCAACGCCAACTCCGTGTGCCCTGGGGAACGGAGGGGTGACCCTGGTGGGGACCAAACAGCTACCAAGGATACAGAAAAGAAGTTGGATGCCTTGGCCACCCTCCACTCAGAGGTCCAGGGAAGGCTGGGCACGGAGGACCCCAGGCCGGGGCAGGAGGCTCCTGGGCACACGGAGGCACACAGCTCCACACGGGAGAGCCCATGGCATGGGGGACAGCTGATGTGGCAGGGTTTCTCCCTCGGGTGGTGGTGGTGCCTCCCACCATGTTGCAGCGCTCCGGGATGAGCTGGCTGTTCACGGAGCACCTTTTATGGAACAGGTCCTGTGCCAGGGACAGGAGAATGAATGGGACCCCACTGTGCCCTCCAGGAGCTCAGTCTACAGACGGCCAGCCAGCCAGACCACGTTGCTTAGTAAGGGGCGGGGGGGGGGGGGGAAGGGCGCCCTGCGGGGGGCCCGGGGGGGGGGGGGGGTTGGCAGGAGCGAAGCCGAGAGGGTACCTAACTCGGACTGGGGCTCAGGGAAGCCTGGCCCAGGAGCTGACACTTGAGCTCAGTCCTTTGAACAAGAAAGGAGACTGGGGAGCTGAGAGACCCACGCAAAGAAAAAAGGCAAAGAAGGGGAAGACGGCCCAGCGGGGAAAAGTGGACCATGAGACGTTGGGAGCAAAGGGTCTCTCCCTGTGTGTGGTCCTGGGATGCGGAGGACCGTGGGGGTGAGGAGACGGAGCAGTGGATGTTTCCGGGGGGCCCAGGGAAGGCTGCTCTTGGATCTGCACTTATTGCCACCAGTAGGGGGCCAGGACTGGAGCCGAGACGGCGGGCAGGGGGCGGATGCACCGGCCCAGGGCAGAGAAGGCCATGGCCTCGGTCCCGGCCGTTCAGCCCTTTCTGAAGAGGGAGATGCGTAGAAAGACCATGTGACCCATCTTTCTGTCCTGGCCCCGGGGCCAGCTCTTGCCTGCCTTGCGTCCCTGCTCCCCTTTACTCCTGTGCCTTTCAGCTCTACTCTGGGGCTCCCCGGGGTCACCAGCTGGGTTTGGCTCCTCTGCTTCGCACATTCGTGGGGTTCCCCTTCCTCTCGCTTGCCTTCCACACCCCTGCCTGGCTCTGCTCGCCCTCCTCTCCGGGCTGGGGGCCCCCAGGCAGGGGTCTGCCGGATAATCGCGGCCCTCCCCGACGGGCAGCGGTGTCCCAGGAGAACACAAAGCACATGGGCTGTGGAGTCTAACACGACTGGCCTGGCGTCCCAGCGTCTCCTTTAGCTCAGAGCCTGCTCTCTCGGTGTCTGCCCACCCACGTCCACCGGGAACAGCGTTACCAGCCAGTTTGGCGTGCGGCTGTGGGGATCACAGGAGGGCATGTGTGTGGAGGGATTTAGCGCCATGCCGGGCACACGGATGTAGCTATCGTTCTACAGGTGGAGAACCGGGGGACATTGCTTGGCCCCAGCTAGCGGTTCTGTGGTCCCGAGATTGCAGGGCCCTGGCTCATTGATAGCCTGGCCCAGCGCACCTGGAGGGGGTACTCAGTGAAGCCAGCGGATGTCCCCAGAAGACAGCCCCCGCCAAGAGCAAAAGCCCTATGTCCCCAGCGGAAGCAGGCAGTGTGTACGGGAATTTCCGGCCATGGGGCTCCCAGGCCAGAGCTGCCCTTTGGTGGTCCGCCACGGGGTGGGGGGCGCGAATGGTCCTTTTGGCTACTTTTCAAAGCAGAGGGACTTCCAAGAGGATTCGGGGAAGGAAGGCCAAGACGCCTAGGTTCTCATAAATCTTTTAATAAGGGTAAATGAAGAAAACATTGTAACAGTTAAGTCCCGTGGTGAGGGGTCCTTTATCATTCGGGGATCTTCAACCACAGAAACACCTAAGACTAAAATTCTAGAATGCTAGGTACACAAATTAATGACCATTTATTTCCAAAGGTGACTGCAGAAACCATTTTGGTACAATCAAAAGGTTTTTACAAAACAGAGAAAACGCATTACAAAATGCCCCGGGAGGTGAGCAAACCGGTTTGGGGGGGTGGTGGGCGGCAGCGAGCACACCAGCTTGGCAAAAATATAGGGGGCTTACGAAGACTGGTTCTAAAGGGGGCCCCTGGGTGCGGAGTGCCAGGGAGGGGTCTGCCTAGTACACAGCAAATCCACCTGGGGATGGGGAAGGGGGGGGGGCGGGCCAGAGGCATTTGCCAATTCCCTGGCAAAAATAAGACCATCTTATTCTCTCTACCACAGTAACATCGATATAAATGAAGAATTCTTTATAGTACAAAACTCACACTGAAAGAAAGCAAGTTTCCAAAAACAACAGCTTTGCTTGAGACGACTTTTGCTTTGTTTTGTTCCGTGCCACGAGGAGCAAACCAGTGTACAAAAAAAAAAGTAACAGCGGCAACAACAAGCCATCAGGTTTTCCTGAGCACGGACTGGCTCACTCTATATACAGAAGAAGAAGGTTCTCCTCCACCTCCCCTTCAGTCTCCCAAAGAGGACAGAGGACTCCGGATCAACGGCTACAATTCCAGGGAGGGGGAGGAATGGCTTTCTGGTACCCCCCCCGCCCCCGAGGTGCCCAACTCCGCCGGGGGGGGGGGGGCCCACCAGGCCCCAACACCAGTGCATGGAGACAGATGGACAATTTGCTGTTGGTGGGGAGCTGTGCCCACTCCACAAAACACTGAATTAGCAAGGAGCACAGAGAGGAGAGCCCTAACAGAGGCTAGGCTGGAGGTGGCAGATGGCAAAGTAAGCGGACTGTCCCACTAAACCCAACCGCCCTCTGCACGGACAGACGAACGTGTCCCTGGGCCTCCGGGAAGAAGATGGGGGCCGGACCATCTTTGGTTGTACAGAACCCAATACTGGGAAGAGGGATGGGGCCGGAAGCAGGCATGATCACCTCGGCTATTCTGAACTGCTGCCGCAAGCTGGCCAGCAAAGCAGACCCTTCGCGTTGGCCCAGATCCTTGGCAGAGGCTACCCAAGGGGCTGGAGAAGCACTCATTTCCCTTCCTGGGGCTGTTTGAAAAGAAACTGTCCTCTTCTCTGAACGCTCTCAGACACACACACGGTGAGCTCCCATGTCCTGCCAAATGGCATCTGGAACGTTGGCCAAGGTGGCTGCGGAACCTCCTTGGTCCTGCCAGGAAAGCCCAAGGTAAGAGGTGCAGACCATGTCAGGTGCTTGCCGCACCCCCATACCTCGAACACAAGCTGCGGGTCCCCATGCGGCCTATGGACTGGGCTCACTCTCTCTTCCCTCCACCTGTACGTTTCTGAGCGCCCCCTGGCCCTACGGCTCACCTCCACCTCCCTCTTCCCCTGACAGGTGGAGCTGCCTCTGGCCTGGCCGGGCACGTGGCTTTCCCTTTCTTCTTTCCTTCCAAGCAGCAGTGAGGATCAGCCAGAATGGGGCACTGAGCTATATAACCAGGGCAAAGGCGAGCTTCTAGAAGCATGCGGCTGCCGGAAAGCCCGGGCTGACTGGCCACCTGTGCCGTGCCACAGAGACAGGGAGGAAGGGCGAGTCTGCAGAGTCACTGCACCACCCCAGCGCTGAGCATCTGCCCCACCCAGGCTGCTCCCCGCCCCCCCCCCCAGAGCCACACACCATCTGCCTATGGAGACTCCGTGTCCTGGAAGGGGACAGGACATGCCTCCAGGGGCTCCTCCTGTGACTTCCTTCCAACCTCTCTTTTGGTAAAGGACCAAGGGGCACTGAGGCCTTGGGCATTTTCTTATCGGCCATCCCTATGGCGGGCAGGGTGGATCCAGTTGCTCAAGAGGGGCCCTTCTGGAGGACACCCCGACGGTAAGAGGCACTGAGACAAACTTGGCCAAGCCCTCGGGGGTTAGGGGGGGCGCTGAAAATGAAGGGTATGGGTCACGAGGAGCTCAAGGGGAGTCAGAGTACTCTGACTCTTCTCCGTCGGGCTCCCCCACCACGTCCTGGGAACTGACAATCTCCGCGCCAGCAGGCCTCTGCAGAGGGGCGGTCCCTCCCGCGGCTGCTTCCTGGGCCTCACCTTGCTCCAGGAGACTCTCCTGCATCCTGCTGCTTTCTGCAGGTCTGACCACTGAGTCACTGAAGCTCAGTCTAGGTCTACTATAATACAGGGGTGGGGTGGGGCCATCAGAGGAAGTCACTGAACCACCTTTTCTGTTCTTAGGCAAACTTGTTCTTAGTTAGAGTCCACAAGGACTCAGCAAGGGCCCTGCCACTGGTTCCCTCCTTGAAGTCCCTGCGTGACTGAGCTCAAGTCTTTGGACAAAAAGGTCTTCCTCTTGAAGCGCTTAAACCTGCACTCACAGGGACCTGATTTCTTGGCACCTCCTTTGCAACCCAGACATGGGCTTTGGGGGTGGGCTTGGTGGAGGGTGGAGGAGGGCGTGATGCCCCCATGCGAAACAATTCGGCATGGAATCTGGCTGTGGTGATGACACGTGGCCCCCTAGGGTAACAACACCAGCGGGATCTGTATCTTCTTCCCCCAACCCAGGATGCTGACATAGCCTGTGAAAGCACAGAACGGATGGATAGGAGCTCCTGCAGAGACAGGCCCCTGACACAAGGATTCTCCGAATTCAAACATCCAAAAACAGGGGAGCAAATGAATTAAAAAAAAAAAAAGCAAAAAAGCCAACCCCAGCTCATCCTTCCCTGAAGCTGCCTTTTACAGAGAGAGAGAGAGAGAGAGAGAAACATTGAGGGGCACTCAAGATTAAAATGGCATCTCCTATCAAACATTCAACTAAAATGGAGCATATGATTCAAATCACAGTTTTCTCAAGTTACCGCTTCTGTTGATGAATTTCTAACACTCCTGATCAGGATCTGGGTCACTTCTTGGCTCTCTTGGGCAGAATTTACCCAAGGCCCTGCCTAGTAAAGAGCGGTGGCTATTTTCCACTTGTTCACTTTGGATCTGCCACCGCAACAGCTCTCCATCCCCCTCACCGGAATCTTGCCCCGGGGCCAGGGAGCGCCCCCACCTCCCGCCGCAGGCAGCATTTTGGAGGGAGTGGCTGGTTGGCTGCTTGCTTTGAGTCATGGGACACCAGTGGGAAGACTCTGGCAGGTTCTATTTTGGCCAGGAGCTGGGAAATCCCTTGGCTCTTGGCTTGCCGCTGGTATAGAAACAAGGCCTCGGTCCCATTATGGTGGGGGCTGTGCTGGAGACAAAAGGGGGACCCCAGCGTAAGCCTGGAGGTCCCTGGCAGTGGAGAAATGACACTCAACCCAACCTCATCACTTCAGTGCCAAGAGAACTGCCACTTGTTGCTTCCCGTCCTCTCAACCAGCTGTCCTTAAAGCACCAACAAGCAGAGTGAAAACCACTGACTACCGTCGCCCATGTAAGGCCACTAGGGGCAGGGAGGAAGAGCCAAAGGGGAGGAGGAAGAATCCAGCCCTCGGCACGGTACCCCCCACCCCCCCCAGGCTCCAGGAGATATCCTGGGGGGGGAGGGCTGGGGAAGGAAGCGTGGTGGAAGAAAGGGACAGAGAAGAGAAGAAAAAAGAAATACACCAAACATCCTACTGCCCTCTCCCCATGATTTCATCAAGAACTGGGTGTTCTCCAAGTCAAGTCAGGACTTGCTTCCTCGGGGAGGGAAAAAAAAAAAAAAAAAAAAAAAAGACAAGCACCTTCAGTCTATTTTCTTGGCTGGAAGCCGGAGCAAATCCAGCAGATATTTACACAAGGGCCCAGCCATGTATGAGAACAGGATGACCAGCTTCCCGTGGGTCATGGTCATGAGAGTCTGGTGTCCCGAGGCCCAGATGCGATACCAGGGGCCGTAGAATGGGTCTGAGATGGCCGGACACAGCATGTTGTTCAAATTCACTTCGGTGACCTGCAGGGACAAGGGAGGTAGAGTGAGCGTTCACCATCCTGAGGCTTTCTCTGGCTTCTGCCAGTTCAGCCATCTCTACCTAGTGGGGGACTAGACAAGGAGGGATTGACCAATCCCCACCTGTTCATGATGGGATTTCTCTGCCCTAGGGTTTTGGGGAGTGGGTCAAGACTAGAGCCCTGGGCAAGTGACTGGGGAGGCCATCCGTTGGAAAAGCTGTCTGGTGTTGCTCAGTCTTGCCTTCCGGTTGGGTCCAGAGCCTGCCGTCATTCCTAAGCATCTACCATGTGCCTAGTCCCCGGAGAGGCGTCAGGGGATGACAGAACAGTCAACAACATGGTCCCTGCCTCCACGTATACCTGGCAACCAACCGAGTTGGTTGGGAAACCACATCTGACCTCAAACCAGACGATGCTCACCAGGTCTCCCCCGCCATGAGATCGGAGGAGGGTACAGAATGACCACCGAGTCCTCACAGAAGATTTCACGAAGTAAGTGGCACCCTGAATGGACTCATGAAGGATGGATGGAGGTCATGGCGAGGAATGGAGTGAGTGGGGCCTTCCTTGTAGGAGGCGCGGCCTGGCCCAGGCCTGCAGGTGGGACTGAGCATGGTATGTATGGTGACATGAGGACACGGACCCCTCCGGAATCAAGCAGTCCCAGTGGAGAGCGCTCAGAGTAAGGTGTGAAAGTCATCCTCGAGTGCGGGAGCATTCACACCACTGGCAAAGAGCTAAAACTGTCCCCTAGGCAAACCAGAGCAGAGCAGTACGCCAAGGTGGGGAAGAGAGAGGGACTGCTCCTCCCGAGCCACTGGTGACCTCAGTCATGTGCCTTAGTCCGGCCAGGCCCCATGAGGCTCCACGCGGCCGAAGCTACATTCATGCTGCTCGCACACAAAACCAGACCTGCCGCTCCTGCCCTGAGGACGGCCGCAGCACCTGTCTTCCAAAGCCCTTCCAGCCCATCCACGTTAGAGACAAGTCCTCACCACCTCTCGGGGAGGCTGGGGGTTTGGTTCCATGTCACAGAGGGGTGGACAGCTCTCTGCCCTCGACGGTGAGGTGACTCAGCCAGAACAGTGGCAGAGCCAGGCCTTGACCTTGCGTCTCCTGACCCCCCCCCACCCCCCGCAGCCCTGAGTTCTTCCTCCTTTGCTTTGCCACCGATATAGACACCCATGCGCTCAGCAATGTTGGGCGCTGGATAACTCAACTACGGAGTCCAGCCATCATCCATGCTCCGGGCGGGTCTGAACACCGCAGAATGCCACGGGAGTCCCCCCCGACACGGCACCTCCACTGGCCACACAGCTCAGGGCCTGAGAGTTGGCCCAGAATGGACCCAAGGTCGGAAGCCTCCTCTCCAGGCCCAGGCCAGGGTCAAGGTCCTGCCTTCCCCCCCACAGGGTTTTCGACCTGGGTGGTCATGAGCGAAGGGCATCCTTGCCTCCCCGGGAATGAAAGAAACGGTCAACACTGAAGGCTTCCGAAAACCCTTTGGAGAGGCCCAGACCATGGAGCATAAATCAGCAAACCCAGACACAACAATCTGACATCCTGGCCTTTGGCATCTTGTATTTTCAAAACAAAACGATACGCCAGCGCCAACCAGGATTATCAAGATTTATGGAGAACCCCGCACAGAGGGGGATCGAAGGGGATCGAACCAAACTTACCAGGCCCAGGATCTGCAAGACGCTGAAGTGGTAAAAGAACATGAGGCCAGTTGAGAGAAGGGCCCACCGGAAACTGCTGAGGGGCTCTGGGGTGTAAGCACCTGGAGGAAAAGGGGAGACGGTGAGACTCACTTCTCCTTTGCCCCTTGAGGGTACAGGTGCCAAGGCCGCAGCTGCGCCAGTGGATTGCCCCCTCTCGCTACTTAGAAGACCGGCCCACAGACGCCCTGGCACTCCAGCCAGCCTCCTTTCCATCCTCTGTTCTGCCACACACTGCCGAGGCCGTTACAGAGGGGGGATTTTTTTTTTTTTTTTTTTAATGATGAAAGGAATGCATGCTCGTTAGAGGAAATTTAGAAAATGTTATAGGAGTCGAAACGAGATGGAGAAAACGAAGAACAACACATCCCGGGCATTCTACTCCCCCCACACACGACGCTGCTAACTTGTGGGTGTTATGCGCCGGCTATGTTCCCTATGCCTCAGGAGTTGGTTTGGTTTTTTTTTTTTCTTCTTAATTACTAATTGGAGTCTAACAGTATATATATAATCTGCACCCTTCACTTTCACATTTATTTTCATCTTTCCCTCATGTTTCTAAAGAGAGATGTCTTTGAGGGAGTGTGGCACGGTGGTTGGGAAGGTTCACTTTCATGGCCCACAGATTTGGGGTCGAATCTAGATTCTACCATGTCCGGGCTGTGTGGTCCTGGAAAAGTTGTGGAAACTCCCTAAGTCTCAGCTTTCCTATCTGTGAAACGAAGATACCAGACCTACCTACTTCTTAGAATTGTGGCAAGGAATGACGGGAATAATGTACTGAGGGCTCGCAGTGTAGGATTGGGTACAATGTGAGTGTTCAATGGGTGTGAGATGCTATCATGAGCACATCATTATCATGCTTCGGATAACTACAGAATGTGCCGTATCCAATGGCTATGCCATTTCCCGACCGTTACACAACTCCCTCCCCCCTGGAACAGCAAGAATGATGTCTTCCCCCCCCCCCCCCCCCCCCCCCCCCCGCCCACCAGCGTCACTAGGAACTACCCTCCCGGGAGGCTTGGATGCATTCCAGAGCTTGCAGAGCAGGGGTACGGCTTATCGGATGCTGTGGGGGTGTCACTCCAAATGGGGGCTTGGGGGGGATGCTCCAGAATGAAACGAAGCTGGAACCCTCCATCCCAAGCAAGTAGGTGGCAACGTTACATCCTGGAGTAGTATTTTCCCAAGTCGGTCTTTCACCGATTCATCCATTCATTCACCAGTTATCAGGCATCTATTATGTCTCCAAGCTCCGTGCTAACTGTTGGGGTATAGGAAGATGAAGAAGACAGGCTCCCTGCAATCCCAGACTCCCAGCCTGCCGGGGGGAGGCAGACACGCCAATGGACAATGAGAACCCAGTACCATGGTGAGATGCCTGTGCGCTGTGCCCCATTACCATGCGAGGACAGAACTCAGCTGGAGGCGGGGGTGGGGGGAAGACCTAGGAACAAGGACTGCTTCTCGGTAGAGGGGGCACAGAGCAGTCCTGAAGGACCAATGGGACTTAACCAGGGGCCCAGGTGTTCCAGAACCAGCAGCTCACACAAAGGCAGACATGCAGACATGAGCTCCCGGGCGCAAGGCAATTCGGAGAACCATGGGTAAGAGCTGGGGCCGCAGGGGAGGGGGTGGTGGGGTGGTGAGCAGGAGTCAGACTCGGACGTTGGTTGAGGGCTGGTTTGGGCTTCAGCCCATACCTGCAGGGCCATGAGCCCCAACGCCACAAGTCTCAGGTAGGCAACGGGGAGAGGAGAGAGACCAGAGACTAAGAGACACTAAGGATGCTGGGGACTGGCCAAGTGGAAAGCCCGTGCCCCTTCTAAAGATGGCAACCACCACTCAGCTCCATCCAACCACTGCCCTGCTGGGACGTGTTCCCAGAGTTGCCAGTTTTTTTCAGTTTTGCAAGAGGAGCCAGAAATATGAACTTTTGTGTTGAATTTCCTGATTTTTAAATGTTGGCAAATAATTCAAAATGTTTTAAGAATGCTCAACGGACCAAACAAAACACGTCTTCTCGGATGGATTTCAGCCTGTGGACGGCCAGCTCGGAGCTCTGCTGCGGAGCCACAGGAAGCAGCAGGAAAGTGATGTGATCAGACATGTGCTTGAGAAAGGGCCTGCTGGCCGGTGTGGGGGAAGGACCGGAGGCAGAGAATGTCGAGGCAGGAGGGTGGATAGGAGGCTGCTGCAAGAACCCAGAGAAGTAGGGGATGGACGGCCCTCAAAGGTCATAGAGGTAGGGCTGGAGAAAAGTGGAAGAAAATCTCCCCAGGATGTGAGGGATGGATGCTGGGGAGGAAGGGTGAGGACAGACAAATCTAGAAAGGCCTCTAGCTTGGGCCTCATTGGGTTGATGGTGCCACTGATTGTGATGGAGAAGAGGGGAGAAGGCAGATTGGGGCAGAAGGCAGGGAGGCGAAGAAGCCGATTTCAGACATGTTGAAATCGAGGCGTCTGCAGAATATCCAGGCGGACATGTCTCACTCAGTTTCACTCATCTATAAAATGGGGTGCCACTGCCTACTTCATAAGGTTGTTGGGTAGATGAGATGACCTGACTTAAGTCACATCACACACTCAACGGAGATGTAGGTGTCAGCAGCACCCGACGGCCACTAAAGTCACAGGGGCACATGCAGACTGGGAAAGGAAGGTCAGAGGCGGAACCCCAAGGAACACCATGGGCGGGGGGTGGGGTGTGGCAGGGAGAAGGAGTGAGGGGGGGTGACTGAAGTCAGGCGGGTCTTCTGGGGGAGACGCTCAGGCTTGCTATGGGCACGAGAGCCGGGCTCACAGCACCTGTGAATCAGAAGGCCCTTGGAAGGCATCAGACTCATTCCTCCGGGTTAGAGATGGAGACACGGAAGGCCGGGAGATGGGTAGTGGAACCGCCAAAGTCAGAGCAGGGCGCTGGGCTCTTAGACGCTGCCAGGCCTCTTGCTGCTCGGTGCCCCTGTTGCCACTTGTCCAGACCACCACCACACCAAGTCGTACAGTCTCTTTCCTTGTCTGTCTACCTGTCTAGACCAGAGCACCTGGTGGTGGGGGGGGGGGACACCCTGTCGGATTCGTTTCTGGGTCCCTAGCATCTGGCACCGCGCTTGGTTTGTGAAAAGGCACTGAGCTGCGCACTTACACTTTGCGCACCTTCCTGTCTGCCGAATGAATGGGAATCGGGCACCGTATTGTCCCCCTGGCTCCTGGGGGTATTAAGGGGAAGAGGGGACCTGGAGGACCAGCAGGTGCTCAGGCTCCTGCTCACGCCTCTCAAGGCCGGAGCTAGCCCCCTCCCACCCCCCCAACCCCCGCCCTGCCCCCGGCCCCGTCCTCTGCTTGGCTCCCCCTAGTGGCAGCTGGGCAGCAGTGACGGGTCTCGTGGGCCAGGCGGCCACAGCAGCCAAGGGACGGGAGGGGGCGGCCAGCCTCGAGGTAGCTCAGCCACAGACCTGGGGAAAGCTGGGATGAGGCCCGGACTGCTGGGCAGCCCCTCTCCTTATCACGCTCCTCCCCTGCCCCGCAGTCCCTGCCCGCATGTGATGGGGGAGAGGCACACTCAGACATGGCCAGGGGTCCACGTTCTCATTGCCCCTTGCCCCAACCCCCACTTTACTACAACCACTCTGGGTTGCCCCATGCTCCCCACGCCAGACTGTCGGTTCTATGAATGAGGGGCCGTTTCAGAATCCCTTTACCTCCAGCACCTGGTACACAGTAGGCACTCCCAAAACTCACCACGGCGTGAGCGATCAAACAGCACAGACCTTCCAGAGAATCATCAAACTCTATCAAACCCTTTGGCCTGGCAATCCTACTTTGAGGACTTGCGTCGAATACCTAAAGAACCCAACAGACCATCCTTTATTTGCACAAAGATATTTATACCTGCACCACCTGTAACACCGAGGACCGGGAAACAAACCAAATGGGGAGATAAGGTGAACTCTGGCACCTCGATATTGTGCAACCGCCATTCAAATGACAAGCAAACCATGAGCGTGTGAGGAAAAGTCCCTGGCTGGTAATGGCAAGTGTCGAAGGCGGAACACCAGACAACATGCCACGGATGGAAAACAGAGCCTGGCGGTTTAACGCAAAGGGCTGGGGGGCGGACAGCCTTGCGTGGGAAGCCCGCCTCTGCCACTGCTTATGGGGGTACCTGGGGCAGATGGTGCTGCCCCTCTCCGACCGTTTCCCATATGAAGACTGGAGGTAACACCCACCTCTCGGGGCTGCTGAGTGGAATAAGAGATACAGAAAAGTAAATAGAGCAGCTTGCCTGGCACACAGCGGGCGGCTGCTATTTTTATCATGGCGAAACCACAGCCATCCCAAATCTCGGAAAAGACTGGGAGAAGCCAGGGGCTCTTGCAAAGAAGGGATCTTCTCTGTGAAGGGGGTGTGTGTGCGGGGGGGGGGGTTGCCTGGTGTTTCTACTGCCTTTTTACTTTTGTTGGTTTTTTTTACTGTAAAAAAAAATCAAAAATTCAATTTCTCTGAAACTAAAAAAAAAAAAAAAAAAATCAGAAAGCAAGCAAGCACCCCGAGAATAAATGATCCTCTCTACATAGATATATGCAAATTGTACGTAAATGGGCATCATTCCTTTTTTTTCTTTTTCCATATACCTGAATGTGGCCCTTGGGATAATCCGAGTGAAAAACCAGTTTTCTTCTAAAGGAAAAGAGAAACTTAAGCACTTTTGGAAAAATTAAACACATAAAACTTTTTTTCTACTTTAAGAAAGAAATGTGACATTTTTCTGCTAGCGTCGTGTATCCCAGGAGGATAGAAGCGTTTCATCTCTAAAGGTGGGGGTGGGGGGAGCCAAGATAATAGCTTTTTCTGAAATCGATTTCTGCCAGAAGGAAGCGTCACACGTGCTGGAAAAGAAGTCACCTGCACCAGCAGCAGCAGCAAAGACAGATCCCCAGAGGCCTCCCAGGGGCCCTTTCTCCCGTCCCATAATCCCACCCAGGAAGGACTTAGACCAAGAAGACGAGGCCGGGCAGGGTGGCATCCCGTTCCCCGGTCTTTGTCCCGCTCCCTTCAA